TTAAATCTTATCTTAATTATTTAACTTTGATCCAAGTTGATATATTCTCAATATGTATAAAGATGAATTCTAAATCTTTTCTAATGAAATAAAATTTGATATTTATGAATATTAAATATTTTTCTATATTTTTCTATTGTTTATTTGATCAAAAGTTTGTTACATTTGCAATCTGTATTTATCAAAGTGATATATTTGAATTTATTTTTTATTAAAAAGAAGTTTTTTGCCTTAAAAATTTTTTTGTTTTGAGTATATCTCTAAAAGGATGTTTACATGTTCTTGTCTTTAGCCATTCTTCTAATTGTAAAGTTTTCTTCTTCTTTTTATTTATAGATTCTAAATATCTTATTATATTTTCTTTTTTATCAAAGTCAAATATAATTTAATAATTACTATTGATAATTCAGTTTTGAAAGGATTTATTCTCTTAAGTATTCTTAAAACTTTTTTTAAGATTTTGATTTTTTTTTTATTTTTTTCTCGTGATAACATTGTCTAAAGCATTCATATCTTAATTAGATCTTGTTGTTTAATGAAGAATGGATTTACTGTAAAGTATTAAGTTCAATTTTATGTATTATAAGAAATATTGTTAATAATATAATTTCTTATGTTGTATTTTTTAATCTTTCTATTTTAACTTCAACTTGTTCTACTATTTCTTTATTATTCATTATTATTTCCTTAATAGAGACTTTATCTTTATATTTTATAAAAGATTGTTAAATCTCTATTGAGATATTTTCTATTATTATAACTTTCTCTTGAATAAAGCTTGATAGATAATTTGCTAATTTATTTATTAATATATTATATACTTTTTTTTCTAATATGGATACTTCAAGATCTTTTCTTTTGCTCGTTCTTTCTTTTAAAAAATGTAAATATATTGCTGTAACATGTATTACTTTATTAAAATTTTCAGATTTATTTTTAATAAATTGATAATAATATTGTTTAATATCAAGAATAAACAAATTGCTTCTACAAAAATATTAGGTTGGATAGTTTTTGTTTATCTTAACTCATGCTAGCTTATCCCTGTTTTCCATAGTTTCTGCTAAGAATCTTGATTAAAAACTATTTTCCTCAAAATTTTTAATAGCTTTTTTTCAATTGCTCTAAAATTTGAATTATCCTTTGTTTTTGATTGTCATAATAACATGTAATGTGAATTAATTAATACATTATTTTATATAAAATAGAATGTGTTATTGTTTACTTATTTATTTGTTAAGCTATTTATATCTGAACATATCAATTACAAACAAGTTTTCTTATTTTTCTTCATATATTATTACTATTATAAACTATTGTTATATTGTTGATCAAATACATAAAAAGATGCTTTTGGATTTAGTTTTTTATTATTTTCAAGTTTTTTAAGTAGAAGAGATATACATATATTTATGTGATTTAATGTATTTATATATTATTATTAATGTCAGATATTCCTTTAGCTATGGTTTTAAGTTTCTAATATCTTTTTGGTTTTTGCAAATTTTGAGTTGTAACTAATTTATTAGTTATGACTATTAGTTATAAGACTTCTTCTAATATCTAGAAAGGCATTTATTTTATATTAGCCTAATTAGAAGCTTGAAGAATTAATGTTGGATCTTATGATTTTACTATGATTCAGATTTTCTATAGCTTTCTTTTTTTTTTTTAAAGTTGTAACTGATGAAGTTTATTAGAGTTAAGATTAGACAGTACATATAATTACATAAGCAATTTGTGTAACTAATTTTAGTGCTATCTAACTTTCCTATTTATAAATCCAACTTGATTTTACCTGCAAGGTAAAATTATGTCAGTACACCCTGCTTTGCCTGGGCAGTGATGTTCGCAAGGATCTATCACAGACTTGTATTATTTCTTTATTGAAGGGCTGGGGTTTTTTTTACCATTGCAGGGTATTGAAATTTGTTTTTATGTTCCAGTGTAAACATCTTGCCATATTTAGACTGCTAGAGTTATCAATTATTATTCAAACCTATGATTTGATGTGAGATTTTAGTGGTTGAATGATGCATCACATTCAATTTTCATCTTCCATTTAATCATTTTTAACTACTCTTCAAATATGATCTTTCAGGAGTTTCTCTTGATTACTTTGTAGCAGATTGCTCCTTCCATTGGATTGGTTACCTTGGTGATTGTTTCCAAATTTCTTCTCCCAGGGTCTACCCCTGTATTTTCCCATCGTGAGTCTTGATTTAACATTATTCGATCTTGGTTAGGTAGGTTATCCTTTTGTGGTAGTCATTAGTGATCAACAATACATGTCTTTTAGTATGTGTCTGGCCTATTATGCTTTTGACTGGTGCAAGCAACCGAAGTTTTTCAGATCTTCCACAAGTGAGTTTTTTAAGAAGAGATGAATATTGGCATCTAGATTGTTGGATTGAACCAATCAGTTTCTTTTTTCAATCTTCATATATTCCGATCAGCATGATGTTGAAGTCGTAGTTAGATACTAAAACTGGTCGTAACCTGTATGATTTGATTTTTGTAACATTGTAGTTAGGCGGTAGTTTTTGATAGGTCATTGTGTACAAGACTGCATGTGGCTTTGAGTATGTATCTTGTACAATGTGATCTATATTGTGAAAACTGTTCATGAGTGGGATTGAACCAGTATCTCACAGATGGCGACCTGGGAATGCATCCACTGCATTATTGACTCACAGGTCTCTATAGCTTTCTCTTTACTCTTAAAAGTTTTATAAATTAAATATAGGACTTATAATAAAAAATATTTTTTTTCTTTAAAGCTAATCTTGAGAAGTACTTTCTATTCTATTTTTTTTGAAGTTTGTTATATTTTTGTTACTTGATTGAAAGTGTCTTTGTGAGTTTTTCAAGAAAATTATTAAAAAAAAATTGAAAAAAGATAGATCAGTGAAAAATAAACCTTGCTATATTATTTATTACTTGTTTTTTAATATTTATATATTTATATAACTTGTTTTGATATTTAGTTAGAGGTAGTTATAGAGTCAAATATTTTATTGTTTAGTTTTTAAGAGCCTTTAATATTCTTTTGAACTTTGCAAACTTTGAGTCTTTTCTAATTTATTAGTAGAAACTATTGTTTATAAAGTTTTTTCTAGTATTTATATAAAGGTGTAAACTATTACTAACCTAATTAAAACTTAAAAAGTTAATATTGAGATTTTTTAAGTTTACTGTGATTTAATTCACTTATATAATTTTTTTTTTAGTAAAAATAAGACTAAGAAAAGTTGAATATTGTTTTTTAAGCTTTTTTAATTCTTAAAGAAGTTTTATGAAATATAATTAAATATTATATTTATTGTTTTGTTTTTAATTATATAATATTTTAATTTGACTTCTCTTTTTTAAAGAAATTATTAAAAAAAGGATCAACAAAAAAAGTTTTTATTTTTTAAGTTATATAAAATATTATAATTTATTTATTTTATTTTATAAAATTAATTTTAAAAATTTATACTAATTTTATATCATATACAATATAATAAAGATATTTACAAGAAATTTTATTTACTTTAATTTGATTTTAAATTTTGAATAGTATAAATCTTTCTTAAAGATAATTAAGCTAATATGAAATATATTAATTTATAGAATATAAATAATTTTCTATTGATTATATTAATATTTCTAATAATATTATTAGTATTTAAAAAGATAGTTAAAAAAAAGTATTTATTTAATATAATAAGTTCTCAAAAAATATTTATAATATTGAAAGATAAAAAATGAATAAAGTGAATTGCTAACTTTTATTTCTATTAAGTTTTTTAAGCAATAACAAAGCTTTATTAGATAAAAGTCAAGGTTCTTTTGTTTTTTTTGAATTATTTCAATTTAATATATACTTAAAAAAACTAATTGAATTAATTATTTAAATATTATAAATAATGATAAAAAGAACTTCTTTTAAAATTTAAACTAAAATAAGAAGAATATTTTAATCAAGCAAATAATTTTTAAAAAAATTTTTTTTATTTGATTACTTTTTGATAAAGACTTAAATTAACTTTTTTTCTATTTTGTTATTCTCCTTTTTTCTTAAATTTTAACAATCTATAATTTTTTAAGTTAATTGATAGTGTCAAACTATCAATAATAATTCTAATAGATAGAAGTAAATCTAATTTAACTAAAAAAATATAATATTGTTTTTAAAATCGAACTTAGAATACTTTTGTATAAAAATGAGTTAATAATTGTATGAAAAATTTATAATTATATTAGATTTTTAATCAATTTTTAAATAAAGACATTATTATGACATGATTGTGAATTAAAATAAAAAAATTTATTTTATATCTATTTCTTTATTTATTATAAATAACTCTTTATTATAGATTTTTTCTAATAAACTTAAAATCAAAATATTTTTTCAAAATTTTATTAAAAAATTCCTCAAGTATCTTTATTCTTTATATTCTTAAATATATATTTATTTATTAAATTTCACCAAATAGTTATTCAAAAAATAGAAGTCAAAATCATTCCGTTTTTGTTCCACACTGTATTTATCTAATTAAGGAATCCCGAAATTATATAAGTAAATTATTGTGAATATCACGTGATACCGGTTTATAAATTTGTATTGACGTCCGACCATTAGAGTTATTTACAATAATTTATTGAATACTTACAAGCATACTAAGTACCATTAATTGTTGTTGGCGCACCAATATTATAGATTAGAGGTGCCAGAGATGAAAAACCATTTGTCAACTACATCAATGTATTAAATGAGATGATTAATATTAAGGTGTGAAGACAATATAATAGTTTAAGCAAAATTATTCTTACTTGATGGATCGATTGGTGCAGGTGGTTGATACTCATTGGGAGGAATGGACTTATAAATAGGGTCATCAGGCGTTATGTTCCCAGGGCTTCCATCAACTGATAGGTTATTACTAAAATAACAAAATAAATTACAAGTGATGAATATTCTTAAAATTAAATATATATATTATTTGCATAATCACTCACATGGCAACGTTATATTTGTCGGTCTTGTTTGGAACTTGTCCAGCAATTAAACGACGCCAGGATTCATGAGTCTCGTGAATAATTTCTGTGGCATATTTCTATTAAATAAATTTATAATTAGCAATTATTACAAAGTAAAATTAATAAACATACACAAACCTTATTCTTTGCCTCCCCTATATAATTAAATAGTAAAGAATGAGTAGAGTAAATTAAAAATAATTTAAAATGATTTAAAACTTTGATTACCGCTAAATGCAAATTGGTTCTCCGGTTTTGAATCAGGAATTTTATAAATACGAAACCATTCGTTGGTAGCACGGATAAGTCCGGGCAAGTGTCTCTCGACATCTTCAATATCTATATTAAGTAATTTTTAATAAATAGTAAAATTTGACAAGACCGGGGATATGAAGGATGCTGACCATTCAGTTTATTTGCTAACGGATCGTTGACGTCGACAACAATAATTTTCCAGTCAGTTTCTCCTAAATAATAATAAAAAGAAATTAATATTCATTTTTGATACGTTTACATATAACAAAGCATTTACCTTCATCTATAAGAGCCATGATACCGAGAACCTTAACCTGTTTGACTTGACCAGTATACCCAACCTGCTCGCCAATTTCACAAACGTCGAGTGGGTCGTTATCACCTTTTGCTTTAGTTTCGGCATGGGTTTGGGTAGGATCCTCCCACGTCTGCAAAAAATAAATGTCGAACTTCAACACTGAGTGTAGCATGAAATTTTTACTAGTATAATAATTTTTACATATACCTGGGGGAAGGCACCATAATTCCAAATGTATCCGTGATGTGGGAAGCAATTACGAACGTATCGAAGTTTACCTTTCTTCACATCTTGCTTTATTGGATTCAATGGTTCTTCCTTGGAAATCTGAGTAAAAATTGTATTAAATAACTTTAAATTCACATATCATACCGATTGAAACAATACTTACTTCCATTTTAGCATTAGTCCATCTGGGAATTTCCACAATGAAATTCAAGACAGTTTTATTCTCGTTTGCGAATAAAGGGATGTCATGGAATGGCGAAATGACCGTCCCAGCTCTTTCTAAAAACAGTGAAATTTGAATTTGCAAATGTTGATTTCTCGATAGAATTGTCAAAACATACCAATATAAATTCTATGGTCCAAGGTGTTTGGAGTACCAACTCTGCGAATTGTATATTCAGACATGGCCTTTTGGATACCTAAAAATGTTTTTTTAAAGGTTCTTGGTGGCTTGAAAGGGGTATGCTTAAAAATTGACAGGAGTGCCAGTCTTGTAGTCTAAATAAGAAAAAAAATATCTTCGAACGAAATGGTTTGACTAGACCAATCAATAATAATTCCATCGATCACTAATAACTTAAAAAAACCAATCAACATACTTAAAAATATTTAGATCTTTCGTTACAGAATTTATACGACAATCAGCTTATCTTTATATACTATTAATTAAAAGATTACACTATTTAAAAAATATGAGAAGCCCATTAAACTAGATACTGTCAATAAAAAAACAATAAATTATTTAAGTACAACTGAAAAAAAAAATAAAATAAAAATAATTCAAAGATCTTTCAAAAAGTTCTTAATCTATTCAACAATTGTCTTTGAAAGAGATTTGTTTGATTAAAATATTTTTTAATTATTTTGAAATAGTGAAATTCTAAGAATATTTAAAGAACTTATTTCTTTCCTAATATATAAATTTATTTATTACATTATTGATACAAATACTATATTATAAAAAAATTTATCTAATTGAAATAAAAAAGCTTCTTTAAAATTCTTATTTAATTAAAATAGAAACTTGAAAATCTTAATAAAAATTTTTTTTTTTTTTTTATCCTCTATCAGATTAGTTATGTGTGCTTTATTAAATATTTGTAAGTTGTATATATTAAATGAAACGCTAAAGCTAAATCTCTAACTAACTCACTCATTTTGGTTATATTATCTCTCTAAGTGCAACTTTGGAAGTGATTTATTGCTCCGTTAGAGGTTCAAGTGAAAACCCTTTCAACTTCTAGCATCATTGTCCACAGGTCACTACTGCAAATCACTCTTTTTAGCTCTGACAGAAATCAAAACCCTAATCACTTCATACCATACTTCACTTCATTTAACAGAATTTTTTTCAACTTCTTGTCTTCGACTCTTTTTTCTTCATATATTAGTTTCTCATCGAATTGACTTTCAATGATTTTACACATCTTTTCCTGATCACATGTGTGTAATGGTCTTTTTTTCTTGTCGTATTTGTGGATTCTTAACCTTTGTTCCCATTCAATCACCTTTTGACATCTTATATTTCATGTTTTCTTTCAAAAGTGATTACATACTTTTTCTTGCATCTTCGTTATCCATTTTCTAACTTCTTTTCCAATTATCTTACTATGATATGTCAAATCTACTATATTGATAATTGGTTCTTTCTCTATTAGTTCCATACAGAAGCTAAGTGTGTCCTGACTAGTTTTTGAGCTTCTTTCTACCAGTTTTGCTATCTGTTTGTTGATTTTTTCTATTTCTATCCTATCATCTATTCTCAAGCTTAACTTTTTCTCTTTTGATTCTATTTTCTTTTCTTTTAAGAGCTTTCTGAATTCTTTTAAAACTCCTTCTATTCCTTTTTGCCATGCCTTATTCCATTGAGTCTTGTAATTTAAGCATTCTAGCAAGTGTTCTATTGTTTCCTTTTCCTGGCCACATATAATGCATTTCACTTGCTTGTAAAGATCTGGTTTTCTTATAGCCAGCTTAATAAGTGTTGATAGCTCATTATTGATCAATTTAGTGAGAAAGCTTTTGTTTTGTGAGCTTTTAAATGAAATGTTCCATGTGTGTCCCTTATTAAAGTGTTCCTATACAAGATCCTACGTGTATCTGTGATGGTCTTGGATTTGCTGATCCCATTTTCTTTCAATTCTATCTTGAGTTGTTTATTGATAGGCTGTTACTTTGTTATTAATTTTTTTAATAGCTTGTCTTATCGAGATATCTAGCACTATATTCTGCCATTTAATTTTTGTGATTATCTTGTGTGAAACTAATTTTTTTCATTTTATTCTAGACAATCTTAGTACTTCTTTAGCCAGAGTATCTGCTTCTTTATTATACTAGATATTGAAGTGTGCCTTAACCTTGATAAGCTTGATATCTAACTTTTTTTTCTTTATGAGATCTAGCTTACATGTCCATAGAGATCAGTTTTGTTCTTTTAACATCTTTTATAGGTCATTTTGGGATTCTTCTTTTCTATAGTTTTCTACTTCGAGATGTAGGCTTGACTATTTGTAAAGATTTTGATCTTGCTATTTACTAGAACTACTAGTAGTATAGTAACTATTGCTACTAGTTCTGCTCTAGTGGATAAAGATCAATCTTCTACTCCAGTTTGGAACTTGCTTTTTCTTTTTACTTCTCCTAACTGTATCCATGCTGCTCCTATTTACATATTTGTACTTTCATGGTTTATGAGGAACCCATTGAAATAGAAAGTCATTGGTTCTTTTTTTTTACTTATTATGGTTAAGTATTTCAATTAGATAGGATTGGTAGGCATCTTCTTCAACATGATCTTTGATGATATTTGTCTCCCAATTTTTTATTTCTACTTGTAATATTCTTTTATTCTGATTGGTTCTTGGTTACTTTATATTGTTTTACCTATTGTACCTTCCAATACTTTTTTGGAACTTGACATTTCCAGTGATTGGGATCTTTTGGTAGACTTTCTTGCATTGAGATAAAGGACCATATGTATTTTTTCTATACTTGTTTCAATTATACATCAGTCTTCTATCTTTATATCTTCTGTGCAACCTTGACACCAGGTTAGTTTTGATTCTTGATTTTTAAAAGGGCTAATATATTCAAAGTGCTCTATCTTTAGCTATCTTGAAGTATTGTCTAGAATCAATTTTCCTCAAATTATCTGTTATTGTTGAAATTTGCTTCTTGTAATCATCCAGAATTTCTGTTGCTTGTCAAAGTTGATGTTGATAATGAGATGTTCTGAGCTTCATTTTATTTATTCTTCTTTCCAGAATTCTATAAGCTGGTTTAATCTATTTTCTTATATTATCTTGGTTATAGATAGGTACTATCCTGAAATAAGTCCTTTGCTTGTGTTCTGTAATAGTTGAAACATTTATCAGCTTCGTAGTTCTCTTGTTTTGTGGACAACTAGCTGGTCTATATATATTAGTTTATTGTTTCTGAGTAATGGAATTGCTTTCTTGTACTCTTCTATCAGCAAATATTCTTTAATTGGACTATTTCCTGGATTCCATTCAAAAATGTCATTCCATTTCCAGCTTTGAAAGGTTATGCCTATATCCTTGGTCAGCTTTAGTATTTGCAAGGAGAAGTTGCCTTTTTCTGGGATATTGTTTAGTGAGTTACATGTAAGTATGTTGACAGGCTCCCAGTATCTAACTTGTGCTTGTTTAAGTCTAATAATCATTGTGGTTCCAGCTGGTCCTGGATTATTTAATCTATTGCACAATCCTATTATTTGACTTTTTTTCTGTAACATCCAAACACTCTTTAAGTTATGAATCTTGAGGTGATGTTTTAACTATTGGATATTGTTCAGCATAATATAGTTTTATTTTTGAACAGTTTTCTGTTAGTCATTATTAAAGTGTTGCATATCTTCCAAGATAGTATACTGTGTTGCATTCTGAATTCGATTCTTGGTATTATCACTCTATTCAAAATGTAAAGAACTTGTTTGTTTGTTAACTTTTTATTCTTCAGAGCTTTGGTAACCATATTAATTTCCTTAAGCACCTTTTTCTTGAGCTCAATAGCCATTTTTTAGTTGCCTATCCAAATTCCTAGGAATCTTACTTGTTTGGTTCTATCTAATTCTCTTACCACTCCTTTATTGATTCCTGCTTGGACTTCTTCTGGATACTGGTTTGGATTGTTAATAGTAACTAGAACTGATTTATTACTATTCATCTGTGAGTCATTTGCTTTGTAAAATATTCTTGCTTCTTTTAATATTTTTTTCATATCTTCCTTTGATCGAGCTATCCATGTGATATTATCTATAAAGGCTATTGTTATATATCGCAACTTTAACTTTCTATTACTATTCTCTTTCAAATCTGGATTCCATGTAATTGATATTCTATATTTTTTTACTTCATCATTTTGAATCTTACATAATAGATGATTATAAAATATTCTTCACATTAAAGGTGAAATAGTTTCTTCTTGATCTATTTCATCTCCTGCAATTATTGTTTCTGTTAGGTTTTTCTTATATATTACCCTAAACTCTCTATTATAAAATAAACTCATTATGGTTCAAATGAAACCTTCTGGAATTTTGATTCTTTTCATAGCCTTGACTAGCATATTAAGACTAATCATATCATATGCTTTTGTTGTATCTTGGAAAAGAATCTATAACTCCTTTTTGGTTTCTCTTGCTTTCTTACAGATATTGTTAAGAATTTGTATTGGTTCAGCCATACTTTCTCCTGGTAATTCTGTATAGTTAGGCTCTCTCAAAATGTTATTGCTCTTATAGATATTTCTAAATCTATTTGTGAGAATTTTAGTAAAACACTTTCGTATAGCTTCTAGCAATACTATTGGTCTTGTGTTGATAAGCTCACACTCCCATGGCTTTGGTTTTGCTATCAGATAAATATGACTTTGCTTCCATCCATATGGCATGACCTCCCATTTTAAAAAGCAGTTCAGTATCCTTTTCAGGTATAGTTTTTCTTCTGAATCTAATCTTTTTAACATTTTATAACTAATTTGTGATTTTCCTGAGGCTTTATTATTTGGGAGTGCTTGAAGTATTTCATTTAGTTCTTCTTGAGAAATCAGTTTTAAGAGATCCTTATATTATTTTTCTTTAATATAGCTTCGGAGACTGTATTCTTCTTTCCAGTTTTTTGTTAGGCTGTTAAAGTCAACATCTCATATTCTAAATGCTTCCTGATTATATTGTCTTATCTCTTTTTCAATATAATTCTTTCTAGTTGTTATATAGTCATTTTTTCTATTTTTGACTTTGAATATTCAAAACTATTTTAATTTACACCCTATCGGTCAAAGAGTTTACCATTCTTCTTTGATTATTTCACAAATAATTATACCTTTGTTCCAGAACCTTTTTAATAATATCTTTTGTCTATCTTGCCTCTGTATTCTGGCAGGTTAGCTTTAGGCCTTCTATTGCATCAATTATTTCTTTTTTCAAAAGTGACCATAATATATTTGAAATGTTATGTTGAATACAATAGTTTTCAATT